CCACTGATTTGACAGCCCAGCATCCCAGATACTGCAAACACTGGTGATGTGTTGTCATGCTAAAATGCTCATCTGGAGGCAGCAAAGTCATTTTGGAAAAGTACCATCACGTTGCAGAACGTTTTCTGAATCATTGTCACATGATTTCAAATCAGTCTGGATGCACAGCTTTGAAACATGAAGCATTTTAGATACAAAAAACACTGAATGAAGAACCTGATCTTTTCCTTCTGCTATATTTTAACTTTGATACAGCCTGGTATGAATTATACTAGAATCATGATTCTCTGTGGTGACAGATGACTATGTGCAGCTCAGAAATGTGCGCAGCAGTTTAAATGGAGTCAGACGTTAATGTTTAACTTCCCTTTGTGTTGATTGCACAGTATTAATACCAGGATGGGTGAACTGGGTGAGCTCTTGGGAGAATTTCTTACCAGCTTTGACCAGTCGGACGGCACAGTCTCCAGGGCTGACTCCGTTCAGGTCTCCTTCAGGTCCGATGCACAGAGTCGCAGCCACAGGTTTGCCAGTCGTCTTCAACACCTGGACTGCCCACTCGGCCTCTTCCACGTGCTCAAAGTACTGCAAGCAGGCAGAAAGAAGAATCCATTAATCATTAGGTTATTATTTAAAGCTGCAGTGGGAGCTTCTGCAGAATTTCAGACAGCAGCCCTGCTTCCTGATTATAAAGCTGCAACAAGATTTTTTTTTTCTCCATTTAGAATGAACCCACAGAGAGACCAACTCGCTGTAGTTCCCCTCAGATCAGATTTACACTATTTTTCGGATCATTTCAGTTTCTCAGGCAGCTTTTATTGAGAAGAGACAAAAAACAAACAAAAAAAAACTATCAGCTCAGCACCAAACAGCAAGAAGACTGGCAGGTGAGCAAAGTGGAGCATTTAGCAGCTAAAGAGACAAATATTTCCATCAGGAGTTGGTGGAGATAAAAGAGAAATCTGAATGTTGGACCTAAATGTAATCAGGACTCAAGCAACGCCAAACGAACGGTGATACACTCAAGCAACAGATCTACCTGAAGCTGAGTCAAGTTGTGTTAACTGCTTGTTTCTGCTGCCCCCAAGTGGACAAAAAAGCTGTTACAGCCAGTTTCATCAGGTGATTTAAATCAGTGCTGACCAGTGTTTGTTCAGCTTCCACAACGAACAGCTGAGAGAGTTGTTAAAAAGCCACATTGGGGTACTAATGCGCCGACATCCAACATGCAGCTTCACACAGGCGGGTATTTAAAGCCCCCCTCTTCAATGTAAAGCAAGTTTTTTACTTGGTTAACAAGTCCACATTGGGGTTTATATGCTGGAAGACACAACATGAGTGAAATACCTGAAACTGCAGCGTATTAATGGAAGTCTCAGGGTTGTATTTGTAAGAAACCTAAAGAATCAATGCTGTTAGCTTGCAGGATGAAGCCTTCTGTGTGTTTCTGGCTTCAACATGCGCCAAGACTTCGTAGATCTGCACGTTTTAGAGAAAACAATGGTGCAGAATCACATCTTAGCCATTTTAATTCAGAAGGGGATTTTTTTCATGGAAAAACCTCAACATATGATACACAGAGATGGGTTTTTAGGGCCTAAATCAATGTCCAGAGAGACTTTAGTGCAGTTCAGCATTATCAGAAAATGCAAAGTTGAGGTTTCGACAAATAGAATGCAACAATTTATGTACATTGATTTAACTGGAATTGAAAGAAATAGTCCTAGTTTGGATGTGCACACAGTTCATGTTTATAGTGTTGGTCAGTTAATAATTTCTTGCACTAAAAGCATGTGGATAATTTAGAATGTTCAAAATTGTATTTGCTTTACTTTTATAATATTTAGGTTGCTATATCGTTGTCCCAGTAACGGTGCACCTTTATTTGCCTTCTGAATGAGCATAGGGGTGTGGCTGCCCAGTCTTCAGTCAGGAGCCACAGTCTGTTGATCTCTGCATTACTCTCACTTGGAGAACTTTGGAAAAAGAACAGCAACTTTTGTGCCAAGTATTTATTGTTCATGCTCACGCTCCATGGTGCATCGATGACAATTCTAATCACTGTATGGCTGCTCCCACTAAATAGGAACCAACATTTAGTAAAAGGCAGAACATTTTGTGTCAGTCATTTTGCACATTTGAGCCTAACAGATCAGTTTTACACATAAAATTTAGTTTAGCTTTAGTTGCATTATGGCAAATATTGTATCTCACATTTCTAAAAATCGACTCATACTGCCACGTGTTGGTGTGTGGACATATGGGCTTCAATGAGTATTTTTACACAGCAGAATTGCATTATTTCTTACAACAGTTACACCACGTTGTGCATTCATTCATGTTTTTAGCTGTGTTTGATTGATGAGCTTTAGATTTCACAACAAGGAAAAGGACATTTGCTCCTTGAGTTTGCCAGAAGGTAAAGCTTCTCCTCTGCTCTGATGGGTTTTTACTGGGATACTAAGTTGTCATTCTTGCATTAAAGTATTGAGCAGTTAATATTGTAATGATGTGGTGATGATCCATCATGTTTTAAATCTATAAACACAAAAATATTTAACTGAAGCTTTAAAAGTATAGAAAAATTTAATTGCAAATTGGAATATCCGTTAGAAAAATTGTGATTTATCTCCTAAAACTGTTCCGCCCTGCTGCTTAGAGAGGTCTATATATATGCACATTTAAATGGTTACCCTTTAATGAAGGACCAAAAATTTGGATATTTTTTGCTTTCGCTGCAACAATTATTAGAAACTGTTTCTTGAGAGCTTCCCAGCTGCTTGTGTCAAACAGATGAATTACCACGTTCACATTTCAGATAACTGAGCCCTTGTCAGCACTTTACAACAGGAAAGAGATGCTTCTGCTTTACCACCTACCTCTGCAATCAAGAAGTCCACGTTTTTCTGCACAAAGACATCCACCTGCTTCTTGAAGATGGTCTTCACGTCATTCTCACTCTTGCAGCTGAGATAGGAGGGAGTCTGAGAGACTCCTCCTGCCACCAGTGCATCCCCTTCATTGGCCACCTCCCTGGCCAGGTCACAAGCTGCTGCGTTTATCTGCTGCCCCTGTAGTTCAAAGTGGAAAAAAAAACACAACTTCAAATGTAAGCTGAGAACACCAAGTGCCTGTTTCCATGGCCTGCGGCTGGTTTGGTGCCAGCCCTGGTGCTGCTGCTGCTGCCAGACCCTCCCCCTGACTGTGGATGAGAGCTGGGAGCAGCTGCAGGTTAAAGCGCACAGCCCTTTACTCACAGTGAAGGCCTGAGCGTTGCCTCTGTTCTCCAGCTTATCATCGCTTGCGTAGAAAGTGAAAGTCTGCATGACATTGGATCCAGCCCGCAGGAACTCCCTGTGCAGCTGCCGCACTGCAACAAGACCACGGACACTTGAACTGGAATTACAGGTTAGGAACAGAAATCTAAAAAAAAAAGAGGAAAGAAGGAACTCCTACCAGCCTCAGGGTGCTCAGCTGCAGCCTCAGGTGTCCACGGACCAGCTTTGACGTATCCCCTCTTCTCAAGGGCGAAGACAAAGCCTCCGTCTCCGATGACCACCTCTCCAGCCTCCAGACGCTCCAGAATGTTCTGCAAAAGTATGTCACAGTCTTGACAGCTCTGCAAAGCCACTTCCCTTTGCAAGAAAGTGCGCAGCTCTCCACCAGCCTGCCTCACAACTTGAAGCATGCAGGAGAAACTCAAACAAACAAAAGGCGCGCATGAATGTTGCGCTTCTCTGCGTGCGTTCTCACCTTCTTTGCTCCAGCTGGTGCCATGATTATTGCAGCAGTGACCGGCCCACTCTTCTCAGCTACAGAGTCCTTCTGAGTTTGGAAAGGACTTTGTGCACGCATCCATGCTGCATTTATAATCAGAGAGGGGCGCGGAGCTCCTGATGTCACCGCAGGAACCGCCTGCCTCTCGCCTTTCCTCCTCCTCCTCCTCCTCAAGCAGTGCACATTTGGACAAAAATACAGCCTATTGTTCGTGATAGTCAAGGCGTCTTCTCCATTTGTTTGGTATTTGTGGAGGGAATAAATTATAAATATGATGAGAAGGGTTTTTGGAGTTTGCATAGGTTTAATATGCATGCCACAATACAGAGCCTATAAAAGTATTCTCCCTCCTTCTAAGTTGTTCCTTTTTATTGCTTTTCATCATTGAATCATTGTCCATTAAATGAGGCCTTTTAAAAAACTAGAGTTTACACAAAAGGCCTTTTCATGTCAAAGTGAAAACACATTTCTATAAAGTCATGTCAATAATTGAAAATATGTAAAATGAGTGATTGCAGAAGTGCTCAATCACTTCAAGTCAGTATTCAGCAGATGCATCTTTGACTGCAATCTTTTACAACACAGAGTCTATGAGGATAGGCTTCAATCAGCTTTGCATATCTGGAAATTGCAATATTAGCCCTTTCTTCTTTGCAAAACTGCTCAACCTTTGTCCGCATGAACAGGGATCATGATGGAACAGCCCTTTTCAAATCCAGCCACAAATTCTCAACTGGACTGAGGTCTGGACTCTGACTCGGTCACCCCGCGACTTTCCCCTTGTTGTCTTTAAACCATTACTGTGTAGCTTTTGGCTGTGTGTTTGAGGTCATTGTCTTGCTGGAAAACAAATCTCTCCACAGTTTTTTGTTTTTTGCCTGCATCAGGTTGTCCTACAGGATTTCCTTTGCTGCTATCATTTTTCCGTCCTCCTTTTTAAGCCTTCGAGGGCCTGCTGCTGAGAGTCATCCCCATATGATGCTGCCACCACCATGCCTCACAACAGGGATTGTGTGTTTGTGATGATGTGCAGTGTTTGGTGTCAACCCAACAAACTGTCTAGTCTGTGGTCCAAAAACTACATTTTGTCCTCATCAAACCAAAGAATTTTATTCCAGTTGGCTTCAGAGTTTCCTACAAGCCTTTTTGTGAACCTTGGTCCAGATTCATATTCAGCAGTGGCTTTCTCTGGAAGCAGGTATTATATGCACATCTAGACTACTAAAGCTTGTAACTTCTTCTGAGGAGTCATAGGTGTCTTAGTGGCCTCGTCTCTTTCTTGCTTAGTCACTTAGTTTTTTCAGATGAACTGCTCTAAGGTGGATTTATGCATGTTCGATGGTTCTTCCATTCCTAATGATGGATTTAACTTTACTCTGAGGGATATTCAGTGACTTGAAAATTGTCTTTCATCCATCTTCTGATTTGTGCTTTTCAACAACCTTTTCACTGAGTTGCTCAAAGTGTTCATTTGTCTTCATGTTGTAGTTATATTCAGGAGTATTGATTTATCAGCGCCTGGACCTTCCAGATACAGCTGTCTTTATATTATAATCACTTGGGACAGATTCACTGCACTCAGGTGATCTTCATCTCACTAACTGTGTAACTTCTAGCACCAACTGGCAGCACATTTATTGATTAGGCGAGTCCCTTTAAAGCACGGGTGTCGAGTCCTGGTCCTCGAGGGCCGCAACCCTGCATGTTTTAGATGTTTCCCTCTTCCAACACACCTGATTCAAATGATCAGGATTGTTTTCAGGCTTCTGCTGATCTTGATGATGAGCTGATCATTTGAATCAGGTGTGTTGGAAGAGGGAAACATCTAAAACATGCAGGATTGCGGCCCTCGAGGACCAGGATTCGACACCCCTGCTAAAGCTAGTGAATGCTTGCGCAGTCACCTGTTGGACATGTTATATTTTTAATTAACTGACATCACTTTGTAGAAATCTGTTTTCATTTTGGCAAGAAAAAGTCATTTTTTGGGGGGCATTTTTTTCATAAAAGCAAAATTACATTTACCACCATTCATTGCTGAAAAGCCAAAAAAGGAGAAAATTTCCAGGGGGGATGAATACTTTTTTGTAGGCGCTGTATGCAATCACGCATCATAAAATGTAATGACGAATATGGAAAATGCACATGGGATGTTCATGTGAAATACTGGAAGGCACGGTGAAATGTCAGGGCAGCGTGTGCCTGAAAGATTAGTACAGCTGTTAAACACAATGGAAAGTGCTCTGAATGTTCATAAGCTGAGATCTTGTGAGGTTTCATGTGATGAATACTTGCAAATTTGGATTTTAGGATAGTGTATGGGAAGGCAGCTAGAAAGGATGTGACAAGAAGAAAGTGAGACAGTGACGCATGCAGAAGCTGACTTTACACAGTGTGATGGAGGGATTCTGTGATGCACGAGGCGCAGATTGGAAACTGTATTTAGGAATGTGTGCAGCTCTCACATCTCATTTGCTCTTGAGACCAGCCCAGTTTGTTGTACTCTCTGTGAAGTTTGCAATAAACCTACAAGAACAACGCTGACTCTGCTCCTTTTCCTCCCAAATGTGTTCGTGGTTGTGGTGGTCAGAAACTAGTGCTACATCAGGACTTCTTCAATGTCTTTATTTCTGGAAAGATCCCACAACCAGATACCTGAACTGTAGCCAATGAGATAACACAGTTTGACAGGAACTGATACAGAAGCTGTGTGATGAAGTTATCATTAGAATGTCCAGTTTGACTGGTTCGGCCTGTTAACTGGTGATTCTGAATTGTCCATAGGTGTGAATGTGAGTGTGATTGGTTGTCTGTCTCTAAGTGTAGCCCTGTGATAGACTGGTGACCTGTCCAGGTGAACCTGCCTTCACCCTGACTCAGCTGGGATAGACTCCAGCCCCCCGATACACTACAGAGGATAAAGCGGTGTATAGATAATGGATGGATGGATGTGAGTTTTGAGAAATCTCTTTTCATCACTTCATAAATCAGAAAATACTTTCAACAATCACAAACAATAATTGTAGCCTGTGAAGTGAAGTACTCTATAAATCAAATAATAACTGATCAAACCCCTCTGTGGCATCCTTCAGAATATAGATCTGACTTCCTGCAGCCACCGCCCAGTACTTGGTGTTCTTTTCCACAAGGACGCTGTGTAGATTTTTTGGCTTCCAAAGGACTACAAGCATCTGCTCTCTGCAGTGTAGATTAAGGTTCCATATAGGTTCCACAGCTGCATGGACCGATGGATATGAGTGTGATTTTGGAGGTCAGTCATAGTCTAACGTGTAACTTTCTCAAGTGCGAATGTGGAGACTCGGATCCTGCAGGTCACGGAGCAACAAAGGATTCTTCAGTGTCGTATCAGAGACATCTGGTGATCAGCTGTTAATCTATTTATATGACAAAAGATTTGCATTTTCATATATTCTGGATTTTTAAATGATGAGGAAGGAACAGATGCAACTTTAATATATATATATGTTTTTTGACAAGTAAACTGTTTTGCACCCAACACGCAAATTATTATTCCAAGGCTGCCTGGAGCCTTTTTGTCACCGTGTCTTACTGAATGCAGCATGTCAGGTCTGACATCCTGCAAAGAAAATACCCTCAAGATTTAAAACTTTCTGCCAAGGGAAGCTTTAAAATGCCACTGTCTTTTCTGCTATTTCTCACTTTTGTCAATGCAAGTTCACTGGTGCAAATGAGGAAATTGTGTGTTTGGCTTGATTTTACATGAACAATTTGGGGGGAATCAATCAGAAGTATTGTTTAGGACTGTAATGAATATTTTCATTAGAGAATAATTAGCTGATTATTTTATGGATTAATTGTCTCAGTGTTTCTTCTATAAAATAGCAGAAAATTGGAGGGAAAACTCAATTTAGTCACATAATTTAAAAAAAGAAGAGAAGTTGACACATGATTTCACTGACTGATTAACAGTCAAAACAGGAACTGATTAGTTTAAAAAGCTAATGTTGTTGTTTCCTGATGACAGGTTTCTCTTATTGCCAGGAGGCTGCTGCCGGAGCTGTATTTGTATTTGTATACATGTGTTAAAGTGAAGCAGTCACTCCTGCTTTAAAATAAGAACATTGGGAGGAGGAAGTTCTGTCAACACTCAAGAGTTATTTAACTTGAAACTGCCTTTACAAACAGAGTGCAGCGTTTGTGGCCCCTAAAAAAAGGTGAACCACTTACAACTTCACTATTCCCTGTTAGATCAAAAATATTCTTTGTTTTCTTAACAACCTTTTCAGGATCTTAAGGCAAGTTTATTAGGCACTATGACAACATGTGATGCAGCACAGCTACAGGAAAATATCTGAATAAAAAGTCCCAAATTTAAACCAATAAAAGGTAGTGGCTAATGGAAATGTTTTAGGTCCTGATTCAAAAAAGAAATGAAAGTACTGATTACAAAATTGCCACAAAACTGTATTTATTTATTTTTTGGTAACACAAATCTATTTTTTATTTTATCGTGGTAATATTGGTGCTGGCTCCCATTCTTCTCTACATCTGCCTCCTCACTACCTGACTATAACCCTCATTTTATATACTGTACTGAATGAAGTTGCACAAGTCAGTTAAGGCACACTGAACATGACAACATCTGAACCTGAAAGATATATACGAGATATATTTAAAAGAAAAAAAAGGTTCAAAATCAAATTCAAAGCAATGTTTGACTAATTCAAAGAGTTTTTTGTTAATAGTTGTATCCATTTTTAAGCAAAATGGATCAAAATCTGTAAAAATGTACCTCTAGTGGCTAAGAAAGAATGAAATCTTGTTAGGAAGTTTGACAAAAGAACTCTTTACCTACAGAATCTGTACACCTACGCAGGTGTTTCTGTCATTGTCTGTTGCTGTAGATGGGGGATAAGTAAAGATATAATCTATCAGGTCTCAGAAGGAGCAGACCAGCTAAGATGCGGTTTAATAACCTTGTTTGGGTTTACCAGAGCATGCAACCTCTTTTGTTTTCATGTGTGTGAGTGCTGCGAGCATGTACTGCCCTATATACAGCTACTGCACTGCTCTTCTGTATGTAATAAAAATAATCTTTGTGTCAAATAAACAAACAGATAAATAAATGCCACGATGCATTTGAAGTAAATAAACCTCTTCTGCTACAAAAAATGCAGGTATGCACTGAAGAGGCCATATTTGTAAAAATATCTTGCTCTTCTCACAAATACATGTTTTCATCAAGCACGATATCCTTAACTGAAAGAGTAGCTGAACAAATGACTTCATTTATTTGATCATTCTAAGCTTCGTAATTCACAGAAGCAAATGCA